CCAGTGTCATGAAATACCGGTAAATTCCAAGTGCCTGGACTCAAAGGCTTCACAGCCTTCAGTAGATTATTGCCTCACCTGCTTGCAAAAAAAATTGTTTTTTTCATAGCCTTCAGCTTTAGGGATTCTAGATTATGGCCATATGTGGTTGACACTGAGCGCTCGCAGATCGGTGTAGAACTAATTCATCTGTACTGTTCCTGCAGAGCCTGTGTTGACCTGTTAACATGTTAGTAGAGTAACTCTTACTCTATAGTTGCTCCTCTTCTTATTCGTTGCAGGTAAATAGTGGATTCCAAGCAGAAACAATGTGCCATCATTAAGTTCTTGACAAAAGAGGGATGCAGAAGGCTACAGATGGAGATGACATCATTGAGCCATGTGCACAGATGGATGAAGAAGTGTAAAGCAGGAGAAACCAGCTTTGAAGACAAAGCACACAGTTGGAGACCATCAACTCCAACCACTGACATGAATCATCAGCGAGTGGAACTCAATGATGGCATGTTGTTTCTCCTTGGAATCCATTATTTACCTGCAATGGAATAGAAGAAGAGTTACTATAGAGGAAGAGTTACTCTTCTAACATGTGAAATTTGAATGACCTTTGTAAGTTAACAAAAAAGCTGGTGTGTGTGAGTGTGTGTATGTATATAGGTTTTTTTTCCTTTCCCCACCAGTGTCATTATGAAATACCGGTACCTTCCAAGTGCCTGGACTCAAAGGATTCACAGCCTTCTGTAGATTACTGCCTCACCTGCTTGCAAAAATGTTTTTGTTTCATAGCCTTCAGCTTTAGGGATTCATGACTGTGGCCATATGTGGTTGACAATGAGCACTCGCAGGTCGGTGTAGAATTAATTCATCTCTACTGTTCCTGCAGAGCCTGTGTTGACCTAAGCATTCATGCTCCATTTCTACAACATAGAACACAATGTGTGCACACGCTGCTTGATAATAGCTGGTCCATAGTGACCAGCTGTAAACTGCTTAAATAAACGTATTTTGATCTCTTCAAAGTGAAATAAGAATTTCATGATTTATGCATTTTGCTGATTTTCTATCATGTGCATGGATAGTAAACCACTGTAAATGAAAAATAAACTATTAAGCCTAACCTTGGTGGACTGTGCAGTCAGATTGGAATGTATATGGCAAGCTTTTCTATGTGACCAACAGTATGCGGCATTGTGTTTCGACAGGATGCAGGTGATGTCTCGAATTAAAGCTGAACTAAAGGTAACAAACAAAAAACTGCCAGCAGGCAGCTCCCTATTGCAGAAGAGACACATGCAATGTCTCTTCTGCAAAACCAAACACTTACCTGCCTGATCACAGTCTTCTACTGAATGCACACTGAGCTGTGCATTCTCGGCACACTCCGGCTGTGCCAGAATGACGAAGTCCCATGTGCATGTGCAAGATGATGTCATTTCGCCACTGGCCAATCCAGAGGCTGAAAACCCGGCACCCGGAAATGGCCGGGAGAAGCTGACAACAGCTAGCAAGGGATTTAAACAGGGAGTGAAGAGGTGAGTGTTGCTTTCAGTTTATTTCAGCTTTCAAGAGAGGAGTGAGTGCTTCTCCACCATTCAGAAGCCTTATATTTTTAGCAGTGAATACAAGGCTTCCCCTGATTGGTCAGGTTGGAGAGGTAGGCAGATGACATCACTATCTCCACCTGGACCAATCAGAGGAAGCCTTGTATTCAGTAATAAAAATAAAAGGCTTCTTTTCAGTGGGAAGCCAAGCCTGGGAGGGATTCTCTCATCGGGCAGCATTCCAAATGACCTGTTCAAGAAGCATGCACTCATGTCTCCATTCAAATTAGGTCTATTTATTGTTTCGAAAACATGCTGCTTGAGGCTGCCTCATATGCGCAGCACAGTCTTACCTCATAGATCTCTGCAATGCTGTTTGCCCTTGCTTTCCCCTTTCTTGCTGTCATTACTTCCTATTTATAGCTGGTAATTTTCCTGCATTATTTGGCCTTTTTCCATATCCCACAATACACTTTTTCAAACCAGTTTGTAACCTCTTGTTGCCCTTGTAATGTATATCATCCATGGACGGTCCATGGACGGTCAAGGTTTCTGTTCTAAGGGTGTGCTCACTGTGAACTCCCAGCTCAGTGACCAAGCTATCGTAGATTGGGAGTCATCTGGATGGGTGCCCTATCATGTGACCAGTGTGACAGGCAATTACAGAAGTCTGTCCCATCGCTTCTCGGCCTTTTCACTAAGGTCAAGTGTAGTATCTGTTCTTATCAGTGTCCAGTAGGAGTGCTCCACCATCATTCTTGCCTTTAGGTGAGGATGGCTGGCTGTATAGTATCCGTGCTGGTACTATGGGGGCTCTGAAGGTTAGTACTGGCTGAAAGAGAAACCAAGGCACCCACAGGCTGTTGGGCCCCGGGAGTAATTCCCCCGGGAAAACTGGAGGGTCCCAGTTCCTCCTGATTTGAATGGGTCTACTTTGTCTGGCCAGGGGCCGGGAAGGCAGAGAGTCTGCGAAGCAGTGCCCCCTGTGAGTGGTCGCCTCAGTGGTACTCTTAGTAGCACATGGGGGTGAGATCCCAAGTGTGACAAGTACAAATGGTCACCGTTCCAAACATTTTTTCTGCACTGCGCCTTTTAGGGCTAGGCCTTTTGGCTAAGTCCAGGGCAATTTTTTTGCTACAGGCCTCAGGGCCTAGCCAGTGCACAACTGCACGACCACTTATTTATTTATTCATTTTTCTCCCACTGTTTTGGCACTTTTCACTTTTGTGTGTGTTTTTTTCTCACTAGGATGGAGGGTGTGGATCCTCGGGCCTGCCCTGAAGTCTAGGGGGAGGATGCATGGTTATTAGGTTCCTTCCTCCCCTGTTCCTGGGGGGTCTCTCTTCGGGAGAGCTCCCTGACCTAGTACTTGGTGGTTGGCTAGCCAAAAGGAAAGGAGTCCACCAGGCTTTTTGGCTAGGTGGACCATGTGGAAACCTTTGTCCCTGTCAGGATCCTTGCGCTCCAGAGCATCAGGGTAGAGGTCCTATCCCTTCAGGGGGTGGACTAAAGCACACTCCTAAATGCACTTTTTTGTGTTTGTATTTTGCAGTTGCATGTTTTTTGTTCACTTACGGGTTTTTGTTTTTCGCACCTCCGCGGACTAAAGAAAAGACCATTCCACTCCCTGGGCATAAAGACCCACTTTTAGGGACTCCGAGGTGGGCATGAATGGGTTAAAGGAAATGTGTGCCCAGCAGTGCTGTAGTGTACTCACCATGTATTAAACTGACAGTTTAATAACAGGGACAGGGTTGTGCATCAGAAGATGACTTTGGCTCAGTAGGGATAATTTAAAAGAATAAAAAAGCATAGGTGATCCTAGCAGTAGGGGGTTCCAAAGGTTGTGTGTCTATGGTTCCAGTAAAGGGAGTTTGGCCCTGGTATTAGTAATGCATGACAATGTTTGGTAAGGAAGCCTGAAGCCGCCAACAAGTATACTTAGTACTGTAGTCAAGTCATTAGACTTTACTACAATTTTTAGGTGATCCATTTGGAAAACATATACAAGGAGTTAAGGGTTCTGCTGTATACCCGCACATCTTGTGTGGCCTGGTTTACTGTATGCGAATCAACTGATGTGATTTGGCACCCGGATCATGAACAAATACATCGTTATAATACATAACTTTACCCTGTTGGGTAGATGAAGGGATAGAACTTATATTTCCAAAGGCTCTCTGAAAGCAGAGTGTAAACCTAACCCTGCTGTAAAAAAAATGTGACATTTCCAGGTCACCCTTGACAATTATTGAGACAATGATCTGTCATGTCATTCTAATGTAGCTGGGTACGGAAAATCACATAGTCCTATAGTAAATAACATTACATGACTGAATGTGACCCTGAAACAAAAATAAGCCCTTTATTCCTGAGGGATGCTGCCTTTTCCACTTTTCCATCCCGGCCTCAAGCGTCAGTTTGGCATCGTTCTGGCATACCAAAGCTGCATGATATCTATTAGAAACTAGTATTAGAAATATGTTGAGATCTGATCACTTTTGGATTGCAGAGATTTACGGGTATCTAATTGTACTGTTGTCTTGGGAGGATATATGAACAGTGTACCTGCATAGAATAATGGTGTAATAGAAACAGCTGTTATTAAAGTGGAAGTTCACCATAGAATGACTCAATGAACATTAACCTCCCTAGCGGTCTGATTATTTCATATTTTTGGTGCTGAAAGCGGTACCATTATTTTGCATGGAAATATGTAGTTTTTTTAATGTAGGCTGTAATTTTTAGGAATAACTCACTGAAATCTGTCTGAACAAGATTCTAAATCATACATTTAATTCAATAATATAATCAAACCAAAAACACTGAAATTTGAAATATAGCGCCAAGTTCGCACATCGCTGAGCAAAGTCGCAAAATCATTTTCAGTGTCTGATGACGAATTTCTCCACGAATCATTATCACTCAATTCTGCAAGTGGTTCTGATTTACTATCGCTGTTCTCTAGCTGGTCTAAAACCACTATTGACCTAAAGGGACACTTTTTGGACGCCATGGACTTTTCTAAGTTTCCAGGCAGAAAGAACAGTAAAAATGCAGACAAGGGACAGGACAAAGCACTAGGGACAAAATGTATGTGAAATGGGTTGAAACAGCAATGTTTTACTATGTAAAATCGTTTTGAAAAATATGACATTTTTTTTAAATTTTCAAATTTCCCGCCGCCGCCGGCGCCCATACGTCCCGACGTCACAGGGACCAGAACACAGGAGGCGGATGCCGGCATCGGTCGGAGGAGATGGCTGGGGACGCTGCAGGGGACACATCGTGGGAGCCAAGGACAAGGTAAGTGCTGCAGAGACTCCCTATGCAGCGCCACATTGTAAGCCCGAGTGTAGCTCGGGGTTTCCGCTTTTGGTACAGACATTTTACCCCGAGCTACACTCGGGAATACCGTTAGGGAGGTTAAACAGTCATATAACACATGTACCTCATCGTCCCTGGTGGTATTCCCGAGTGTAGCTCGGGGTAAAGTTTCAGTACCACAAGTGGTAACCCCGAGCTACACACGGGAATACCATGCGGCGCTGCTCCGCGATCCCTTCTTCACTTACCTTGTCCTGCGCTCCCGCGATGTCCCTCCTGCAGTGTCCCTGGCAATGTAATCCAGCGGATGCCAGCATCTGTCATCTGGGTTCCGTCCTCTGTGAGCGTCAGGACGTACGGGGACGGAACGGCGGGGGAAATTTGAAAATGACAAAAAGTGACATTCACTAAAATCACATAGTAAAGCATTACTGTATGAAACCATTTCACATACATTTTGTCCCTAGTGCTTTGTCCTGTGCCCTGCTTGCCATTTTACTGCTCTTATTGCCTGGAAACTGAGGAACGTCCATGGCGTCCAAAAAGCGTCCCTTTAGGTCAAAAGCGGTTTTAGACCAGCTAGAGAACAGCGATAGTAAATCAGAATCGCTTGCAGAATTGAGTGATAATGATTCGTGGGGAAATTCGTCATCAGGCACTGAAAGCAATTTTGCGACTTTGCTCAGTGATGTGCGAACTTGGCGCTATATTTCAAATTTCAGTGTTTTTGGTTTGATTACATTATTGAATTAAATTTATTATTATATTATTATTTTTTTATGATTATATATTAAATTATAATTTATGATTTCGTGTTTCAAGTTTTATCATACCCGGGATGTTTACTAGACTCTTGTTCGGACAGATTTCAGTGAGTTATTCCTAAGAATTACAGGCCTACAATATAAAACGCCAAATTTCCATGCAAAATAATGGTACCGCTTTCAGCACCAAAAATCTGAAATAATCATACCGCCAGGGAGGTTAAAGGATAAGTTCACCTTTGGAACATGTAACATATTCCCATAGCCGCAGCCGCGCTGCCCCCCCCCCCGACAGAAGGAACGGAGAGAAGCCTCCCTGTACTGTCAGATTTGAAAACAGCGTAACTGTGCAGGGCTCCGCCCACACAGCCGCGTCACTCATTTACAGAGTTCTGTGGATGAGTGCCTACAAGTCCTGGCAGCTTTAACGGCTGTTGGCTTGTAGTTTTCAATACACTACCACGGTGCTGTGGAGTTCATTGAGGCTTCCTGTCAGAATGTTTGCTTGACCGTACATCCCATATGGCAAACAGATATTCTGACAGGTCTGCAGGAGACCTGCATGGCATCAGTGATCTACTGATCACTGGTGCAATGTTGTAAAGGCTCCTTTGGACAAAAATAATAAATGCACAATTTTTACCTGCAAAAAAATGTGCATTTATTATTTTTGTCCAAAAGGTGAACTTATCCTTGAACCTGGGTTCACATATATGCGGTGCGGTCAATCGCATGTGATTTGCACAGGAACCACACTGCATTCCTATGCAAATCACATACGATTTGTGTGCGGTGTGATTGGAGCCATTTGTGTGCGGTGTGATTGGAGCCATTTTGTATGGCTCTAATCTCACCGCACCCCCACCAAAAATGTGCAGGACCCTTTTTTTGGTCCGCACTAGAATAGGATTGCATGGGTATTCACACCTATGCGATCTGATTCTGCACATCGCTTTCAGGGTACACACCCGCAGCGGTTTGCATGAACGGGGTGCGATTCTGATGTGGTGCGGAATTCACACTGAAAACGCTGCAAATTCTGCACCACATCAGTGTGAACCGGGGCTGAAACATGCTTCCTCTATGTCCTAATGCTGTCAAGACTGAGGGATTAATAGGGCTGAGGGCAGGGGCGGACTGGCCATTTGGAAACTCGAGCACTGCCCGAGGGCCCGGGGTCAGTAGTGGGCCCCATGAGATGCTCCTGATACATTTTTCATAGGCTTTTTTGAGTTTGGGCAAGGACACAGGGGCCCCATGATCCCCTATTGCCCGGGGCCCCATGAGTTGTCAGTCCGCCCCTGGCTGAGGGACACCATGGTGCAGCTGTGCATGGTAGCCAATCAACTTCTAACTTTAGCTTGTTCAATTAAGCTTTGGCAAAAAAAAAAAAACCTGGAAGCTGATTGGTTTCTATGCAGAGCTGCACCATATTTTGCACTCTCCAGTTTTAGTAAATGAATCCCCATGAGTTGCATGAAGTTTCTGGCAAATTGTTGGCAGTTTCCGGTGCTGATTGTTGGACTACTTGAGCATGGGCTGAAGTCAAACATGCTGCTATGCATTTATCAAGGTGCATTTGTTATATGGCTGTTTATAATTCATTGAGTAATTGTAGGGTGAACTTCCACATTAAGTCTCATTCACACCTAAGCATTTTGAAGCGCATTTCCAGAAGCACTTAAATACTCAACACTAGATTTCTATGTTATTTTACTGTGTCTTTCACATCTGGGTGATCTGCTCTCACTCAACATACTAAAAGTATAGAAGCTTCTTTGGTGCATTTTTGGTCCCAATAGACTTCGACGACAGTGCATTAGAAACATGTGAAAATGTGTGATTTTGAACTTAACCGCCATCTCCTCCTCCTAGCAATAAATTCTCTGTTGGCTAAAACATAACCACTCAAGCCTGAAAACACCTGAAAATTACGCTGAAAGAATGGAAGTGGTGCTCCATTGTATCCATACTTACAAAATAAGAAATGATACTGAGAATTACACCTATCATATAGAAGAAGTGAGATGGTACTCCGCATCATCCTTACATATATAATAAGAATAGATACTGAGGATTACACCTATCATACAGAAGAAGTAAAATGGTACTCCGCAGTATCCTTACATATAGAATAAGAACAGATACTGAGAATTACACCTATCATACAGAAGAAGTGAAATGGTACTCCGCAGTATCCTTACATATAAAATAAGAATAGATACTGAGGATTACACCTATCATATAGAAGAAGTGAGATGGTACTCCGCAGCATCCTTACATATAGAATAAGAAAAGATACTGAGGATTACACCTATCATACAGAAGAAGTAAAATGGTACTCCGCAGCATCCTTACATATAGAATAAGAAAAGATACTGAGGATTACACCTATCATACAGAAGAAGTAAAATGGTACTCCGCAGTATCCTTACATATAGAATAAGAACAGATACTGAGAATTACACCTATCATACAGAAGAAGTGAGATGGTACTCCGCAGTATCCTTACATATATATTAAGAAAAGATACTGAGGATTACACCTATCATACAGAAGAAGTGAAATGGTACTCCGCAGTATCCTTACATATATAATAAGAAAAGATACTGAGGATTACACCTATCATACAGAAGAAGTGAGATGGTACTCCGCAGTATCCATACATATATAATAAGAATAGATACTGAGGATTACACCTATCATACAGAAGAAGTGAGATGGTACTCCGCAGTATCCATACATATATAATAAGAATAGATACTGAGGATTACACCTATCATATAGAAGAAGTGAGATGGTACTCCGCAGCATCCTTACATATAGAATAAGAACAGATATTGAGAATTAATACACCCAACATACAGAAGAAGTGAAATGGTACTCCACAGCATTCTTACATATAAAATAAGAATAGATACTGAGAATTACACCTATCATACAGAAGAAGTGAAATGGTACTCCGCAGCATCCTTACATATATAATAAGAATAGATACTGAGGATTACACCTATCATACAGAAGTGAGATGGTACTCTGCTGCATCCTTACATATATAATAAGAATAGATACTGAGGATTACACCTATCATATAGAAGAAGTGAAATGGTACTCCGCATCATCCTTACATACAGAATAAGAATAGATACTGAGGATTTCACCTATCATACAGAAGTGAGATGGTACTCCGCAGCATCCTTACATATATAATAAGAATAGATACTGAGGATTACACCTATCATACAGAAGAAGTGAAATGGTACTCCACAGTATCCTTACATATATAATAAGAATAGATACTGAGGATTACACCTATCATACAGAAGTGAAATTGTACTCCGCAGCATTCTTACATATATAACAAGAATAGATACTGAGGATTACACCTATCATACAGAAGAAGTGAAATGATACTCCGCAGCATCCTTACATATATAACAAGAATAGATACTGAGGACTACACCTATCATACAGAAGAAGTGGTACTCCGCAGCATCCTTACATATAGAAAAAGAATAGATACTGAGGATTACACCTATCATACAGAAGAAGTGAAATGGTACTCCGCAGCATCCTTACATATAGAATAAGAACAGATATTGAGAATTACACCCAACATATATAGAGAATAAGGACAAACAATGAGAATTACACCCTTCATATAGAAGCGAAGTGTACTCTACAGAATCAATACATGTAGAACATAAACTGATACTGAGAACTACATCCAACATATAAAAGAAATGAGGTGGTACTCTGCAGCATCCTTACATATATATTTAGAACAGATACTGAGAATTACACCAATCATACAGAAGAAGTAAATGGTACTCCGCAGCATCCATGCACACACAGAGTAAGTGAGAACTACACCCAGCACATAGAAGAAGTAAAGTGGTACTCTGCAGCATCAATACATACAGAACAATAAGTGACACTGAGAATCACATCACATTTGCTCACTTTCTCCATCTTTCAGACAATGATGACCTTCTGCGCTTCAGTCTTCAATAACTGAAACAAAGAAAAAGCTATTTGTGAGAAATTTGGTATGGAACCTTGCAAAGATATGTACTATGAGTAGCAAAAATAAAATTGGGCTAAGACAAATGCTTCATGGGTAAGCTGAGAACTTTTCAGTCGCCCCTCGTACATCCATCATATAGAAGAAGTGAAGTGGTACTTAGTAGCATCAATACATATAGAGCAATAGCTGATACTGAGAACTTCATCCAGCAACAGAAAATGATATCCAGCATGTTTAACAAAGAAGGTAGTATCTTCCATATTGTGTGAAAATTCAGAAGATAGGCAGTTCCTGTAGTACAGCAGCCATCAAGTCTGGAACCAAAACTCATTCCTCAGTCAAATTCACTTCAACTCAGGGGCGGACTGACCATTTGGAAACTCGGGCACTGCCCGAGGGCCCGGGGTCAGTAGGGGGCCCCATGAGATGCCCCTGGTACCTTTTTCATAGGCTTTTTTGAGTTTGGGCAAGGACACGGGCCCCATGATCCCCTATTGCTCGGGGGCCCCATGAGTTGTCAGTCCGCCCCTGCTTCAACTCATACAACTTCTTCAATCTAATGAGGGAGTAGATGAACCCATAGAGCTTCTATTTGCAGCAAAAAAAAAGCCCAGAGCAGTTCATTTAGATGACTGAAGGTGTTCCCAATCTAATGTTTGGAAGAACAACAATTAACTTGATCATGTTTGCACGTGTTACTTAAAGAGCTGCAGCCAAGTGATTCATTGTTTAGCTATCCACATTAACGAATTGGTGTTCCTGAAAAAGCAGCCACTGAATATGTGTATACAAATATGAACACGTTTATAGATACCAAGATTTATTTGCACTGATACAAAAATAAATTCAAATGGATATCAAAATGACTATTGGTAGTACAGAAGGCAAAATGTGCAATCAACACAATGCTGGACGCTTAGCACCCTTTAGGTTTAATCCCATCTTATTTATTATTTATTTATTTCAGGTACTTATATAGCACTGTCAATTTACACAGCACTTTACACATATATTGTACATTCACATCAGTCCCTAACCCTCAAGGGGCATACAATCTAAGGTTCCTAACTCACATTCATACATACACATACTAGGGACAATTTAGACAGGAGCCACTTAACCTACCAGCATGTCTTTGGAGTGTGGGAGGAAACTAGAGTACCTGGAGAAACCCACGCAGGCACAGGGAGAACATGCAAACTCCAGGTAGGAGGTACTGTAGCTGGGATTTGAACCAATGGCTCTAGTGCTGCCAGGTGGAAGTGCTAACCATTTAGCCATTGTGCTGCCCACAAAATGCAGTGTTATCCATAAAAATGAAAGCAGATCTCTACTCAATCACTTGAATCTCATGTTAGGTGACATGCAGATGGGCATATTGAGGAATAAGAATATGTCTACTGTTTTTCCATGCCGAATGCAGGATATTCACATTTGGGGAATACACCATATGTACATGCGTGGCGTGTTTACGCCGTTCCACTAGAGCATCTGTATTTACCTGAAGAGGGCCACATGCAGCCATTCACTTCTGTACGCATAACCTGCAGCTCCCAGGCGGAAGTGCTAACCATTTAGCCACTGTGCTGCCCATCTTTATTGAATTTAGAGGAAACAACAGATACATGTCAGATACATGTCAGCAGTGCATTGATCCGTCATTTTGATCAATATCCATAAAATACTTAAATGGAATACTACTGTATCTCTTTAACCCCCTGGCTGTATTCCCCAAAATAGCTCAGGGTTAATTTTCAGTACCTGAAAATTAATGACAAAATTTTCAGTACCTGCAGCATTGCTCTGGGATCCCTCCAGGACATACCTTGTGTCCTGCGCTCCTGCGATGTCCCCCCTGCAGCGTCCCTGGCCATCTCCTCCGGCTGATGCCAGCATCCGTCTTCCGGGTTCCGTTCCCTGCTAGAGTTGGCACGTACAGGATGTACAGGGGACGGAAAATTAAAAAATGTGACATTCACTAATACACTAAAATCACATAGTAAAACATTACTGTATCAAAGCATTTCACATACATTTTGTCCCTAGTGCTTTGTCCTGTGTCCTGCCTGCATTTTTACTGTTCTTTCTGCCTGGAAACGGAGAAATGTCCATGGCGTCCAAAAAGCATCCCTTTAGGTCAAAAGCGGTTTTAGACCGGCTAAAATACAGCGATAGTAAATTAGAACCACTTGCAGAATTGAGTGATAATGATTTGTGGGGAAATTCGTCATCAGACACTGAAAACAATTCTGCGACTGAGCTCAGCGATGTGCGAACTTGGCGCTCTATTTCAAATTTCAGTGTTTTTGGTTTGATTATATTATTGAATTAAATGTATTATTATTATATAATTATTTCTTATGATTATTTCTTATATTATAATTATTGATTTTGTGTTTCAAATTTTATCATACCCGGGATGTTTACAAGACTTTTAGAAAACTAAATAAACTGAATGTCGCACTCCTATTCCAAATGCAATATTGTATACAGCGTTAAAAAATATAAATTATACTGAATCATAAACCCCAAATCAAACACAGAAAAAAAAAAAATTTTAAATACTAATGTGATCAAAATATTCCAATGCATAACATATAATGACAAAAGTCTCTGATTAGTGATGGTGACTGCTCTCAATGGTTCAAGTGAAATGAAAAAAAAAATATATATAGGTGACTTCCTTAATGTAATTCAGATGTATGCTCACCTCCTTGATAGCCTGTGACAGGCTTAATGCGCTTTTGTTCACTAATAGGAACATTTATTGCATAGTATGAGGAATGGTGGGTATCTCTCAGCCAGCTCCACGTCTCAATATCCCTCCTGGGATCTCTCTCTCTTGCAGCTACTCCTCCTCCTTTAGATATATCCTCTCTTTAATGGCCTATACCAGGCTTGGTGCGCTTTTGCTCACTGATAGTATTGTGTGAGATATGGTGGATATATCCCATCCGACTCCTCGTCTCATATCCCTCCTGGGATCTCTCTCCCATGCAGCTACTCCTCCTCTGATATATCCTCAGTGTAAAAAGAAAGTAACAAATATTGCCTTATCCTTTGTATATCCTTGCACTCACATTTAACCTGTATAAAAACCGCTTTGTTAAAAAAACTCTGTAGACAAGCCAAACACAGCATGCTGTGTGCATACTCGCCGTCCTCGAATGGTGTGTGATGTCACAGCCCCTCCCCTACGCGTTACGCCTGCGGTCACAAGGACCAATCACAATTGGCTTGTCTACAGAGTTTTTTTAGCAAAGCGGTTTCTATACAGATTAAATGTGAGTGCATTTTGACACTTAATAAAGCACTTTTATACAAAGGATAAGGCACTATTTGTTACTTTCTTTTTACACTGAGGATATATCAGAGGAGGAGTAGCTGCATGAGAGAGAGATCCCAGGAGGGATATGAGACGGGGAGTCGGATGGGATATATCCACCATATCTCACACAATACTATCAGTGAGCAAAAGCGCACCAAGCGCATGAGGCCCCCCAAAGAGAAAAGAGCGAATGTGAAAAAACGCAGCTAAACACTAATGCAAAAACACTAAAATAGCAGAAAAACGTGCAATTTTATTGCGACTTTATACAGCTAACGCTAACGCCGTTTTTAAAACGCCCAGTGTGCATGAGGCCCCAAAGCTAAAAAAAATGCTAAAAAGCACGAACGTGAAAAAACGCAGCTACACGCCAATGCAAAAACGCTAAAAGCAGAAAAACTTGCATTTTTAACAGCTAAAGCTACCGCCGTTTTTAAAAGGCCCAGTGTGCATGGGGCCCCCAAAGCGAACAGCGCGAATGTGAAAAAACGCAGCTAAACACTATTGCAAAAACATTAAAAATAGCATAAAAACTTTATACAGCTAACGCTAACGCCGTTTTTAAAACACCCAGTGTGCACGAGGCCCCAAAGCTAAGAATGTGAAAAAACGCAGCTGAACACTAATGCAAAAATGCTAAAAATAGCACAAAAAAACGTGCATTTTTATCGCAACTTTATACAGCTAACATTAACGCCGTTTTTTGGGGCATGAGGCCCCAAAGCTAAAGAGCACGGACGTCAAAAATCGCAGCTGAATACTAATGCAAAAACGCTAAAAATAGCAGAAAACCTTGAAGTTTAACGCGACTTTATACCGCTAACGCTACTGCCATTTTTAAAACGCCCAGTATGCATGAGGCCCCCAAAGCTAAAAGCGCGAACTTGAAAAACTGGAGCTAAACACTAATGCAAAAACGCTAAATATAGCAGAAAAACTTGAATTTTAACGTGACTTTATACATCTAATGCTACTGCCGTTTTTAAATAGCCCAGTGTGTATGAGGCCCCAAAGCTAAAAAAAAATGCTAAAAAGCTGGAGCGTGAAAAAACGCAGCTAAACGCTAATGCAAAAATACTAAAAATAGCAGAAAAACGTGCATTTTTAACGCGACTTTATACAGCTAAAGCTACCGCCATTTTTCAAACGCCCAGTGTGCGTGAGCCCCCAAAGCGAAAAACGCGAATGTGAAAAAAAAAGCAGCTAAACACTAATGCAAAAACACTAAAAATAGCAGAAAAACTTGAATTTTAACGCGACTTTATACATCTAATGCTACTGCCGTTTTTAAATAGCCCAGTGTGTATGAGGCCCCAAAGCTAAAAAAAAATGCTAAAAACGCAGCTGAACACTAATGCAAAAATGCTAAAAATAGCAGAAAAACGTGTATTTTTAACGCGACTTTATACAGCTAACGCTACCGCCATTTTTAGAACACCCAGTGTGCATGAGGCCCCAAAGCTACAAAAAAATGCTAAAAAGCTGGAGCGTGAAAAAACGCAGCTAAACGCTAATGCAAAAATACTAAAAATAGCAGAAAAACGTGCATTTTTAATGCGACTTTATACAACTAACGCTACTGCCGTTTTTAAAACGCCCAGTGTGCGTGAGGCCCCTAAGCTGGAAAGCATTTGAGCATAAAAAAATGGAAATGATGACGCAAGCACGTGTACTATTCCCGTTCATGTTCAGGCTTCGGCGGACGCAGTGTGATCGCCCTCGTCATCAGCCTGTATTCAGTGTCTGCTGCATCTGCTTTCTCCAGCGCTTGTACTTGTGTAATAGGACCTGCAGGCGGTGCTGAAGACTCACTTCCAGCTAAAAATAATTCCTCCCTGTCATTAGCAACACACACACACACACACACCTCTGTGCTGGAAACCAGGAGTCGCAACCGGCAACCATCACTGCTAGGGATCCACACTCAGGATGACACAGGCAGCTCCATGCTGTGGTACACAGGCACCAACACTGAGAAGGACACACTGATCTCCATCCAGGCAACACACACAGGCACTGTGACAGCATCTGTGACAGGGGAACACAGAAGATGTGACACAGAGCCCCAGCACAGCCATGCTCACACACACCGCACAGGCAGATGCACATGCAATCATACATTACCATAAATCAGTCTATTAAACACGTCACCGGAGAGGCTAATTTTAGCACCAGTCTGCAAAAAAAAAAAAAAAAAAATCACAAATTCATGCACACGCTAGGATCTGTGCTTGTAGAGAAAAAGACACATATACCCATGGGAAATGACTAACCCACGCAGATGAGGGAACGCACACATTTCAGGGTATAGATGGAGATAAAACGCATGCACAGCATAGTTTTACAATGTATATTTATAGCTAGGCACCTATACACATAGCCTCGGCCTTTCAATTTTTAAACCTACAGGAAAGATGCACCAGTGATGACATCATGGCGGCGATGTACGGGACAAGGCCGGACTGGGTGTAGTATAAGCTGTGTGTGACTGCGGTTGATGGGTGCAGAATTGGGGCTTATTCTCATTTGTGGGGTATTAGCGGTGTGCATGTATACCTGCATGTGTGTATTTATACCGTATCTCATATATCTACTGTATTGCGTTCCGTATTGCGTGTATAATAGCCTATTTGTGCGTAGCTGAACTTTGATCCGTCGTCTTATGACCGCGGCCTGATTTCAAGAGCAGTCTGGCTGCAGTTAAGGAATAATCAAAGATTAATTTTTAACATGGCTCCTTGCCCTGGAGATATGGCACTTCAAAGTGTGTTATGTCCTGGTTTCCAGTAATTGGGTTGTAGCACCAATCATCGCATTATAGATGCGGCAGTCTTTTTTATTATTGTCCCACTTAAAGTACTGCAATAATATGCATGAAATAAGAATCGTTTCCTTCAAGAAAATCTGTACTGGCACAGTGGAGAACTACAGAGGTTTCCATTACTGACTTCTGTCTGAAAATAACAGTTCCCTGGCTTTCTCTGGCTGAAATACTTTTTGAGTCACCAACCCAGAACAAAGAGGCAGACAGTGACGTTAGAGGAAAGTCAGAGCTATTAACCGCCCTAGCGGTCTGATTATGTCCATATTTCTGTGCTCAAAGCGGTACATTTTTTTGCATGGAAATATGTATTTTTTTTTTATTGTAGGCCTGTAATTTTTAGAAATAACTCACTGAAATCTGTCCGAACAAGAGTCTAGTAAACATCCCGGGTAGGATAAAACTTGAAACACGAAATCATAAATTATAATTTAATAAATAATCATAAAAAATAGTAAAATAATAATAATAAATTTAATTCAATAATATAATCAAACCAAGAACACTGAAATTTGAAATATAGCGCCAAGTTCGCACATCGCTGAGCAAAGTCGCAGAATCGTTTTCAATGTCTGATGACGAATTTCCCCACGAATCATTATCTCTCAATTCTGCAAGTAGTTCTAATTTACTATCGCTGTTCTCTAGCTGGTCTAAAACCGATTTTGACCTAAAGGGACACTTTTTGGATGCCATGGATGTTTCTCAGTTTCCAGGCAGAAAGAACAGTAAAAATGCAGGCAGGGCACAGGACAAAGCACTAGGGACAAAATGTATGTGAAATGCTTTGATACAGTAATGTTTTACTATGTGATTTTAGTGAATGTCACTTTTCGGCATTTTCAAATTTCCCGCCGTTCCGTCCCCCGTACATCCCGACGCTCGCAGGGGACGGAACCCAGATGACAGATGCCAGCATCCGCCGGATTATATTGCCAGGGACACTGCAGGAGGGACATCGCGGGAGCGCAGGACAAGGTAAGTGATCGAGGGATCCCGGAGCAGCACCGCTGTTGCTCGGGGTGTAGCTCGGGGTTACCGCTTGTGGTACTGAAACTTTACCCCGAGCTACACTCGGGAATACTGCCAGGGAGGCTAAAGCCTTTGGATCAGCATAGAGGCCCCATGTACATGGGACACTTCTGAATGATGGAAACTGACTGCTGGAAAATGTAGATTAAAAAACATCTGTTTAGCTGAGTTTGCAAACCACGTTTATGCGCGTTTATGAGCGCTTGCGTTTAGAAGCGTTTTTTTAAGATAACCTCAGGAGATCCTCCAAAATGCCCAGAATGCACTGAAAAATAGTAAAAAATTTACTTTTCAGACATTTTGAGAGAAATAGAGAGAGCAGAAGCCGAGAGAGCAGTATTTGTTGAGATTAGCTGTCTTTTTTTTTTTGTGGTGTTTGGATGTGTTCCAGCTCATTTCTGTGCAGAAATTATTGCAGCAGTGGTTAACATATTTTTTGCATGCAAAACCTCAAAGTATTGTGTGCCGGGTCCATTTGAGTGCCGGGAAAACACTTTGCATGCATTTTTCATGATGAAAAAAGGCTCTGGACAGCATCTGGAAATTATTTATTTATTTCAGGTACTTATATAGTGCCGTCAATTTACGCAGCGCTTTACATATATATATATTGTACATTCACATCAGTCCCTAACCCTCAGGGGGTGTACAATCTAAAGTCCCTTACATTCATACATACACATACTAGGGCCAATTTAGATAGGAGCCAATTAACCTACCAGCATGTCTTTGGAGTGTGGGAGGAAACCGGAGTACCATGCAGTCACAGGGAGAACATGCAAACTCCAGGCAGGTGGGTGCCAGGGATGGAAGAGTTAAAAAAAATTTGCAAACGCCTGTAAACGCAGTTAGCCGCGTTTAAGCGCGATTACAAGCGTTTTGTGTTTGAAAAGCTGATAAAATCTACTGCTGAGCGCAAGTTTTCTGCGTTCAAGAAAAACGACCGTAAACTCAACTGCCTGTAAACGACTGTAAACAATGATGTGACGCATAAGAAAACATTAGGGAGAGTTCAGGGGCTGCTGAAAAAAACGCTGAACATCTCCTAAACGTGAGTTTATCAGCTGCGGTGTACATGAGCCCTAACAAGAATGCCGCAAGCAACTTTTAAAAGGAGAGCCAGCAATGCTAGTCTAAATCCAAACAACTTTTATTGTCAAGACAATGAAAAATAAATATGGGACAGGGTTTACAGAATCTTCAGCAATATTACTGCACCAGTACAATTACACATAGACAGAACAATGTGGATATGCAGATCCTCTAACAGGCATAATAACAGAAGCAATGATTAATCAAAACTGCAAGGGAGATTTTTTTCGGTTTCCTGGAGTTGGGCTTTAAGGGTTTCTTCGAGTGTCTGATTGGCTTGGTATGCTGGGGATTGTTTGCTAAAATGAAGCTCTGTTTTTTTATGAACTGATATATATATATATATATATACACTGTATTGCCAAATGTATTGGGACACCCCTCCAAATCACTGGATTCAGGAGTTCATATCACCTCCATGGCCACAGTTGTATAAAATCAAGCACCTAGGCATGCAGACTGCTTCTATAAACATTTGTGAAAGAATGGGTCGCTCTCAGGAGCTCAGTGAATTCAAGGGTGATACCGTGATAAGTTGCCACCTGAGCAATAAGTCCATCCATGACATTTCCTTGCTACTAAATATTCCACAGTCAACTGTTAGTGGGATTATAACAAAGTGGAAGCAACTGGGAACAACAGCAACTCAGCTGCAAAGTAGTAGGCCACGTAAAATTACAGAGCGGAGTCAGCACACAGTGTGTAGAAGTCGCCAACTGTTTGCAGAGTCAGTAGCTAAAGACCTCCAAACTTCATGTGGCCTTCAGATTAGCACAACACCAGTGTGTAGAGAGCTTCATGGAATGGGTTTCCATGGCCAAGCAGCTGCATCCAAGCCTTACATCACCAAGTGCAATGCAAAGCGTCGGCCGCAGTTCTGTAAAGCACACCACCACTGGACTCTAGAGCAGTGGAGACATGTTCTCTGGAGTGATGTATCAGGCATTTCTGTCTGGCAGTCCAATGGACGTGTCTAAGTTTGGCAGTTGTCAGGAGAAGGGTACTTGCCTGACTGTATAGTGCCAAGTGTAAAGTTTGGTGAAGGGGGGGATTATGGTGTGGGGTTGTTTTTCAGGGGTTGGGCTTGGCCCCTTAGTTCCAGTGAAGGGAACTCTTAAGCATACCAAGACATTTTGGACAATTTCATGCTCTTAACCTTGTGGGAACAGTTTGGGGATGGCCCCTTCCTGTTCCAACATGACACCAGAGCGCAAAGCAAGGTCCATAAAGACATGGATGAGCGAGTATTTGTTGTGGAGGAACTAGACTGGCCTGACTTCAACCCCACAGAACAACTTTGGGATGAATGAAAGTGGAGACAACGAGCCAGGCCTTCTCATCTGCCATCAGTGCCTGACCTCTCAAATGTGCTTCTGGAAGAATGATCAAACATTCCCATAGACACACTCCTAAACCTTGTGGACAGCCTTCCTAGAAGAGTTGAAGCTGTTATAGCTGTAAAGGGTGGGCCAACTCATTATTGAACCCTACTGACTAAGACTGGGATACCATTAAAGTTCATGTGCGTGTAAAGGCAGGCATCCCAATACTTTTGACAATATAGTGTGTGTGTATATATATATATATGTATATATATACAAAGGTGTTCTGTCGGGTTGAAGTAAGGACTCTGTGCAGGCCAGTCAAGTTCCTCCACCCCAAACTTTTAAAATTTTTGTATTATGTTTTAATTTACATTTTTTAAAATTTGTATTATGAGTGATGTATCTATTGCCCAGACTTTGCTTTTCTGTCCAGGGTACCCTAAAGGTGCCCATAGAGAGAGTATGGCAGTGGGCCTCCCTCCGCTATTTCTAACAGACCTGTGCTCATTTGGCCTGTAGGTGGCAGGTGTCTGCCTCATACTATAGATATGATATCGACTGTAACGTCAGTGGGCAACTTGAACGCAGAGGACAACTTTCATTGATTACAGCAAATAAATGGTGCAGTCAAACTGGATCTACACAGGAAAGTCTAACCAAGACCGTTGTCCTGCCAGCTGAAATTGTCCTTCAGGCAATATGATAAATAAGGCTTTGTAAGCTCCAAGGAGCAGGGCCCTCCTAACCCTCTTGTATTGAACTGTATTGTTGCTGTATTGTCTCCCCTTATATTGTAAAGCGCTGAGCAAACTGTTGGCGCTATATAAATCCTGTATAATAATAATAAAGCTCAGTGTAACTGTAGAGTAACTGTATTAGAATACCACATTAGCCACTTAGGTTTATATCCAAGTATCCAGTCTATTTAAGCTCTATAACAAGAAGGACATCTTTATAAGATCCTCAGTGGCATTTTGTAAAACTAATAGAAGGAATATGGCAGCACAGTGGTATCGTGGTTAGCACTTATGCCTTGCAGAAGTGAGACTCTTAGGGTTAAATCCCAAGCAGGATACTAGCTGTATGGAGTTTGCATGTTTTCCATGTGCTTGCCTGGGTTTCCTTTGGATACTCTCACTCCAAAAGACATGCTAGTAGGTTAATTAGCTATTGTCAAAATTGGCCCTAGTACAGTGGTTCTTAACCTTGTTGGAGGTACTGAACCCCACCAGTTTCATATGCGCGCATTCACCGAACCCTTCTTAATTGGAAAAATAAAATATGATTTTTAAAATTCAAAACATAGGTATATATTTAGGTATATATTTATACATAGGTGCACAAAATGAACAAAACCGCTAAGAACAAAGAACAAAACCATTAAAACATGATTTTCACACAAAACAAAAACATAATAATGAATATTTACTGCACGAATCATATGAGTCGGGTGTGGGTCTTCACCTCCGCCGAACCCGCGAGACTGACTCACCGAACCCCTGGGGTTCGATCGAACCCAGGTTAACAACCACTGCCCTAGTATATGTGTGCCGGTCTAAAAATCCCAACTGCAGCCTCCTATGGTAGACTCTGGTAATACATTTTAGAGCGACTAATGCAGCTCTGGTATAAATTTCAGGCATAGTGCTACAGAAAAAGTAAGGTTTGGAGATTAGAAGTGCACCAAAAATCGCAGTGCAGTCATGATAGAAGAGAGGGATTGTTGGGAATAAGAGTTATCTCTAGCAGCCAATAAGGTTTTAGCTTTCCTCCCTGTTCCAAAAATATGCTGTTGGATTACAGTGCTATCTACAACTGAGATCTCGTTTGCATCACTTGAGTGAGAAAGTCCAAATCGGGGTTTTCACTATAAAATGATAAACTATTTAGTGGTATTTTCATTCAACAGATACCTGAATACATGTGCAATGCTAGGCTGGCTGTACTTTCAACATTTAAAGAATAAATTCACTTTTACAAAAAATAATAATTGAACATTTTTTTAAGGCAATGCCACGGTCCTGCAGACTGCCTGTGTAGCTGTCTTCCCATACCTATGATACAGGCAGGCAATTACACTCTGATAGGAAGCTCAATGAACTACCTAGAGAGCTCAACAGTGCCCTGGTAGTTCATTGAGAATTACAAACCAACAGCCGCAACCAGGGCTGCTGTTAGAAACCATGGGGCTCCATATAGCCAACCTGACAGGGCCCCCTCAAAAAAAATAAATTTAAAAAACCACACACAGTTTACTATGCTGCGCTTATAAATGAACACAATGAGTGACCGGTACAAATCCCTCATTGCAATCATTCAGGAACGTAAGGGGCTGGTAAATGTGACATATTTAACGAACCCTTTCCGTAGTCTCCATCCTGAAAGAACCTTTTGCGGGACTGCAGTTGTCGGTGGAAAGGAGAGGAGGAAAGCACACAGGGGGCCTGGGCAGCAAAGGGAAACATATGGAGCACAGGGACGGTGATGGGTGCAGTGGGGGGGGGGGGGGTGAATTACTGGAATCAATGCATGGCTCTCTCTGCAAAAGATGAAAGCCAGCAAGAGGGAGAGGAGAAGAAGCCAGCTTTCAGCTGCTGCAGAGAGCCATACAGGGGATTCCAGTAATTGTCCCCCCGCTGTGTTGATTACCCTCCCTGCCCACAAATCTGATTCACCCAGTCCCCCTGCTGGCCTGGATCCCGTACATGAGGACTGGTGGTACCCCCTTATCCACTGCCCTGGCCGCAACGGCTGTTGGGACTTGTAGTCTTTCACATTCACAGAACACTGTGAATGGATGCCGCGGTCAGGTGGACGGAGCCTTGCACGTTTTTTCCAGGTTGTGACAGCTAGCAGGGGGAGAAGATCCGGGATCTGGGGGTGCTGGGCCAGTGCATTTGTAGCACCTAGCATGTTACAAAAGGTGAACTTGTCCTTTGTCACTGAAAAATGTTCTTCAGCTCTTCTATGACTAACATTTTAAATGTTCTATGCCTAGTTATTTATTGTAAAGTCCTAAAAACATTCATCTGAGGTGTGTTTTTATCCTCCGGAGGTTCAGAAATGATGGGCGTCAGTCACTTTAGTAGAATTTTAAAATAAACAAAACATTTTTTTGGACATGTCAATATTGGAAAGATGGTGAGGTTTGAATCAGAATATCCCCAAGTAAACTGGTTTTCATATAGTACTCTAGGCTAGGCCTCAGTATCTTCTAGGTATTTCTCTACTAAAGTTTCTCATTGTTACCTTCTAGATTGTTGGCTGCACTAACTAGAATCCTGCAGAGCTTGGGCTTCTTGGCAATTGAGGTTCAGTGTTATCCCAATCTTCACTCCCAAGGAAAGGTTCCTGTGTATAATTTCCTACTCAATTATTCCTCAAGTCCATATGTTGGGGACAGTCTCAGCTCTGCTTTCCAAGGCCATGCGCTCGTTATTCCAGTTGCCAAGACCATCAGGGGTTCCTCCCAGGAGGGGAGATCCCTGCATCCCTCCATGTGCTTGGCCCAAGGCCTAAAAGATACTGACTTTTAAGCTGATATACTCACAGGGCATGAGCCTAGGAGAGAAGAGAAAGAAAAAGAAACTGCCTTGGATATTTTATACTTTTCCCAGCATGTCTCAACAGGTTTCCCAGGTCCAATGGTTGACCAAGGTATCAAACATCCATAACACAAAGCCATATCTCTCTGGCACGCCCTGTTGGGGAAAACATAAAAAACCTGTGGCAGAGAAAATACATTCTATACTTAAAAAAATCTATGGCCAAAGCTTTGCAACTTACATGTGCACTTCTTTGATCCAAAATCAGCTGAAAGTGGCCTTTAGCCCGAGCAGCTTCAGTGTATGGACGTATCCTAACAATAATGTCGGGATCTACCCAGATGCCTAATTGGCAGTTGGCTCAGCCTCTCAGCCAGTGAGCACTGGAGGGGCAGAGCACAGAGCGGTGATTGACAGTTATTGCTCTGTGCTCAAAGCAGACCCGAGAACTGAGCGGTCAGTGGTCAAGTAGTCACTGAGTTAGACTTAGAGCTCGCGGGGGGGGACAGCTGAAGCATCACACTGATGTCCTAACCATATAGATGTGTTTTTGTTTTGTTTCTCGCTCCTTTAAAGGAACACTCCTGTTGATGTACAGTTAGGATGACTACAGTCCACTGCTTATTACAGAATTTACAAAAATATTAAAGGGAATTTGGCAAAAATACTACATCCCTCCACATACATAGGAACACCTATGAAATTCTTGTGACTTCAAAAAGACGTGAGGCTGTATTAGTGAATTTGTTTGACTTGATTAGATATCATTTAGGAGTCAATGTGTTGCGGTGCTTCTTTTTTTAGAGGATAAATAGTAAAGCTTGTGTATTCCTCATTTGTGTGTACTTTTTCCTATCTCAACAGATTATATTAATTTGCTTCTTTCAGTTAAATTGCTTGCTGTCATCTAGAGCCCTGTCTTCCATTTTTAATTAATCTGTAGAATGATTTTCCACCAATGTTTTTTTTTGTTACTTGAACAAAATGTCTGTTTTTTTCTTGTTTTTATTACTTTCTCTAGTATTATATGGCTTGTCTGTAACTTTTGCAAAGCAAGCTCACTGCTGAGAGTTACTGAACTAATGCACTTTGATCCACCATATGAGTAAGGAGTAGGAAGGTATTTGCAAGTGACTGGGATTGTTCAGTACTGTTGTCTGGTCATGCACTGTAATGGTAACTGGTGAATATTCCTTGTTTGTAGCAGTTATAATGGTTGTTATCTTCTCATGTGGTTTATCCTTAGCAAATGTAGGTTCTCTTCACTCTTTCCTCAATGTATTTCCCTTCTTTTTACTCTTGCCTAGATCCCAGCTGTTGGACACTGATATGGATTATGAACGTCCCAATGTTGAGACGATAAAGTGTGTGGTAGTTGGAGACAACGCTGTTGGAAAGACACGCCTTATCTGTGCGAGAGCATGCAATGCCACTCTGACCCAATATCAACTTCTTGCTACACATGTGCCAACTGTATGGGCCATAGATCAATATCGTGTGTGCCAGGAGGTGAGCATACTCTGCGTGTACATGACCATGTTCAGCTAAGGATTTTGGAAAGAAGTGCCAATTCTCTTAAAAGGTTATCCTTTTTTTATTCTGTTTTACAAATGTTATTTTCTGATTTAGGTATTGGAGCGCTCTCGTGATGTGGTTGATGATGTCAGTGTGTCCCTCAGGCTTTGGGACACATTTGGAGACCATCATAAAGACCGGCGGTTTGCTTATGGAAGGTACGTCTGTCACATTCATGCTTGCGTAGTGCTTACCTCCATAGGGGCCACTGAGAATATACCCAGGTCTCCCACAAAAGTACAGAGTCTGCCAGTCACAAGCACAGTCTCACACATGTCATCAATAATGGCTCTGTCTAGGGGATGTCTTTTTAGAATTTAATGCTGAAGAATTTGAGAAGGAGAGGGTATTAGGGTCAAAGGATACTCCAAAATGATAATAGCAACCAATGGGAGCACAAACTTCTTAGTAGAAAATCCTTACAGGAGCAGCACACACTACAGTCCCTTTGGGGTTTATTTACTAAAGCTGGAGAGTCCAAAGTCAGACTCCCTTCTGCATAGAAACCAATCAGCTTCTAAACTCAGCTTGTTCAATGAAGCTTTGGCAATGAAACCTGGAAGCTGATTGGTTTCTATGCAGAAGTGAGTCTGATTTTGCACTCTCCATCTTTAGTAAATAAACCCCTTTGTGTCTTACTCACAAAGTCCCAGGAGCTGTCTGCCAACCAGCATCCACAGGTAGATTCTCAATGAGGGAGATAAAAGATCCTTCTCCAGACAGGACTTCAGGATAGTGCCCTCCAGCAAAAGTCTGGTAACATTCTCCTCCACACCCTCAGCCCAGCTTCAGCTTAGGCCCAGGCTGCAAACTTTGTCTTAGTAGCTCTCTCCAGGTCAGCAGCACCAGGAGAACTAGACAGAACATTCTGGAAAGGCCTCCCAAGTATGTATCACCTCCCCAGACACCTTCTGGATACCTCCTTGCAGGGATTGGCTTAACCATGATACATATTCATGTTGGTCATTTGACTCTCCCTGCCCTATATTCTGGAAACTTTTTTCAGAAACAGGTGAGAGAAATCAAACACCCCCAGCTAGGAAACCCTGGCCAGAAATAAAACAATTACTGTTTCCACTGAAACAAAAAAACTATATTTAGTCTCGCAGACTAACTAGGGGCAGGTGCTACACTTGTTTAGTGAAATAAATAAGCGTAACGAATTCCACGAAGATTCGTCCTTCAGTGATCTGACTTCAGTCTGATTGGTTGCTATGAGTTTACTCTGCTTTAGAGAATAGGCACTATGTGTGTCTAATAATACCCATACATCATATAGAACAGACAGAGGGCTGGGCAGATCTGGCTATACTGTATGTGCCTATAGGAAAATCTAGATGATTTGTATGTAGTTCTGCCAAGCCAAATGTTTGAATTGCTCAAGTGCCATAGAAGCAGTCAAATAGTAACTGTATACACTGACCCTCTGCAGCCATAATTTTTGAAATTTAGTGAACATTTCACTATAGTTTCCTCCCCTGGTATATAGATGTGAGTCAAGATCAATCTTTGTCAAATGATTCAATTTGTCGCCTTGATGAAAACATGTTGACATTCAGAAAAGCCTCATCTAAAAGTTGCTGTAAAACAAATATATTCAATTTCAAATATTAGTGGAGTTGGGGGAGACAGCTGATTAGGGGTCCACTCATGCCAACCTGCTCCACTTTTACACACGCACCTTAACATGCATTGCGCTTTATTGCATGTTGCTTTAGAGCAGCACATTTATTTACTTTGCATTGCACTGCACTATTCCAGTAGTGCAGTGCAATGCAAAGTAGTGCATTATTGTGCATTGAGATATGCTGCAACACATGTGCATCAAATGGCATTCAAAATAACACGCGTTTAACCGCAGCTCACTAGTGTGAATAGGCCTGGCATGAAACCTCTACTGAGAACATAATCTAGCCTACCATTGTTGAGCTCTTCTTTTGAAAACACTCATTGCCTGGCACCAAACTGGAAGAAGCATGCATGTAAGCGGTTCCAAATTCATAACTGTATACTTATTCTGGGTCAGTGACTCAAGAAATAATGAAGCTTGGGAACAAATGTCTGCAGAAATAGGTCAGCTTTCAATCAGAATATATTTGATTTAATGTAATTATCTGTAGTACAAGCTTGCATAGAATGGAAGTTCCAGATATTACCACCTATTGAGTATATTGTCCTATCTGATCATATTTAAAGCAGATCTGTTATTTTCAATAAAGAGCTTTGCTCCTCTGCAATAAAACATTGAATATTTCCCTTCCCAGCGAGTCTGAATTCTGCTCTTTTCAAACACTATAGCCTATGGCAAACTCTTTAGTATTTAATGCTTCTAGTCAAATGCTTGTGTTCCCTGTTGTCTGCTGTTGTGCCTTCTGTTGGTCCCTCTGTCACAAGTGGTAGGAGGATCCACAGTGTGCCATGGGGTGATGCAGACATTTGACACTCCTGGAAGTGTCAAATACAGAGAACTTCTTAGGAGACTGGACTCCTTGCTCATAGCTAAATTCAAATTCTCTACCCGCCGAAATGGCAGGTATTCACCGCCTTCCATTGTAGGCGTGAGCTGTGTGACAAGCTTTGGATTTTTGTTTCCAAAGCAACAGAAAGTGTTCAGTCTCTTCCCCCAACTGCACTGTTAAACATGAACTGCAGATATAAAAATACAAATTATTCTGCTCTGTATTTATTAATACTTTTTTTTTTTTTTAAAGAAATGTTTATTAGCATTTTCAAACAGACAAAAAACAAACAAGTGTATACCCACGCAGGGGCAGCATGGAACAATTGACATCTACATGGCATGTATGCAGATTATACACAGTAAATACAGTATAAATGACAAGATGGGATGTTGCAGTTGGTGGATGTCTACATGCTCAGATGAAACATAAATAAAGTGCATATATCCCTTAAAGTGGAGTTCCACTCAACCAATCAAAAAAATAAAAGTCAGCAGCTACACAAACTGTAGCTGCTGACTTTTAAAAAAACAATCAATTACCTGTCCCTCGGTCCCGTGGTGTGTTCCCCGCAGCTCATTTCACCGGCCGTCCTGTATTCCTGGAGGCCGGCATCTTCAGTGTGGGCACCCAGCTGTGATAGTTTGCGGCTTCACAGATGGGTACCCACTGCTCATGGCTGTAGTCTACTGGGACCTGTCACGTGTCCCAAAAGACTACAGGGAGGGAGGGAGGACACCTTACGCTTCCAATCGCCTAGGCGAAGTGGGAACAGATACCTGTCAAATTCGGGTACCCGCTCCCCAAAGGTGCCAATTAATGGGGAGTGGGGGAGCAGTCCTTAAAGCGGAACTTCCCCTTTTGGGTGGAGCTCCGCTTTAAGGTCTAATAAAAGGTACAGAGGATGCAGGTTCCCCAAGCCATTTAGACCTTGTCATATTTCGCAGGACAGCACCTGTGTATATAGGTATCCATGTAGAGGGGTAAACTATTATTTACTAGCTGCTTCCCAGAAGGAGGTAAAGGGGGGGTAGACTTTTTCCAGTTTAAAGTAATAGCCTTTCTGGCATAGAAAAGAAGAAGGGTAGCAAGGGTCCTTTCAGCTCTAGTTGGGAGTATATTTTCAACTAAGTCTAGCAGGCAGATCATTATGTTGGGTCTCAGAGGAACAGATGTCGATTTATTTATTAGGATCAAATCTGGAAACCATAGGCAATGCCAGAAGATGTGGGAGAAAACCCCCGGAGAATGACCACATTTCCAACACTCCGGAGGGCAAGAAGGGTTAATTTTGTCAAGCCTGGATAGGGTATAAATTGTCCTATGAGCAATCTTAAATTGAATCAGCCTATCATAAAGTAAGACAAGGGATCTGAAGGGAAATTGTATTTATTAATAGATAACTACATTTTTATAAATGGGGCAGCACAGTGGCTAAATGGCTAGCACTTCCGCCTGGCAGTACTAGGAACATCGGTTCAAATTCCAACCACCGCCCTAGCTGCCTGCAGTTTGCATGTTCTCCCTGTGCCTGCGTGGGTTTTCTCCGGGTACTCCGGTTTCCTCCCACACTCCAAAGACATGCTGGTAGGTTAATTGGCTTCTGTCTAAATTGGCCATAGTATGTGTATGTATGACTGTAGATTGTAAGCTCCTTGAAGGTTAGGGACTGATGTGAATGTACGATATATATATGTAAAGTGCTGCATAAATTGACGGCGCTATATAAGTACCTGAAATAAATAAATTAAATCTAAATAAATGCAAGCAGAGTGTGAGTACCTGTATTTGACATGGAAACAGTCTTTTGTAAGCAGGCCTCAGACAGGTAAGAGAGAAGTAGAACAAGGAAGTACATGAAACTATACAGTAGTGCTGCAGGGTAAGGAGCATACTGATAGCAAGAGAGAGCAGAGTGATGTGTTTTGCAGTCTGCTGCTTCTCTTTCCACTGTCAGGTCATATGGTGAGAGCAGGGAGGAGGCAAGTAAATTTTATGGTGAAAAATCAAGCCTCCTGCCCCAGTAGGCAAGGTTGTGCTGTGTTCAAGGGCTGTATAATTCTCAGAACTGGATGGGTAGAAATAGAAATCTGTTGGCAGGTAAAACAGTCATATATATTTCTTCTGTGTGTTAAGCTGTTTTCCTAGAGTTTACCTTTAAATATGAAATATTTCAAATGTGTTGTGTGTGTACCATTTAGTCCTTCCTTTTATTAATTAATTGCCTTTCTAAGAGAAAATGGTGAAAGCAGCTCATCAATATATAACTAGCAAGAAAGGTGCAATTTAGGTGCAGCAGGCACATTTTACAGCACTTAGCTCTGCCAGACAAGGAGCCTCATTAATATCTGCATCTGATATTTTAACTGTTACTCTAAATTAGACATTTTCTCCCATTTTCTTCCTTTATTTTTTGCTTTTTCCTATTTAAAAAAATCTTCAGCCAAATATTGATAATTTGTATTTGAGTGGTTGCTGGTGGATGGAATCACATGCTCTTAAATCTCTTGGCTGCAGTGATGAGATATCCCAGTTCTACCATATTCCTGAATCACTGCCAAAGGATGGTGTTAGGCTCCCCTTATGGATTCTAAGGGTTGGCCAATAATTGGGTAGATCCAGATACACCTTCATTATGGCCTTATGGATGTGGGTGGAATGCAAACTAATGTGGGATAATCTAACTACAGGTTTCTAAAAGGGGCACAAGAAGCTGCCAGGTACTTGAACCCACCACTGGCCACCTGAACATGAAAAACCAGTTTAAATAGTCTTACTTCTGTATGCATTCTAGCAGTGTCACGTGCTCACACACTTCCATTTATCTCCCTTGTTTTAGGTCTGATGTGGTCGTTCTCTGCTTCTCAATTGCTAATCCCAATTCACTCCAGCATGTCCAAACCATGTGGTACCCAGAAATAAAGCACTTTTGCCCTCGTGCCCCTGTTATTTTGGTTGGATGTCAGTTGGACCTGCGCTACGCTGATTTGGAGGCTGTGAATCGTGCTCGCCGCCCTTTAGCCAGGTGTGGTTATGTTCCTTAGCCTGCAATATATTCAGTATTGATGTTAATTTAAATAGGGCAGTAGCTTTCAACCTCAGTGCCAGTATCCCGAAGATCTCAGCTAATGAGAGGTATGAAAACTAGGGGATAAAGCAAACCTGTGCTTTCCCTACCTAGGCCAAAGAAACATGTTTTCTATAATAGCTCACCCCCAGCAGCGCATACTTTAATTCTGCTCCTCCATTACTCTGTTTAGTCCCTTGAGAGCAAGGAAAGGAAGTCCTGTAAGGTCAGAGTTTCTCTGGTCAGTCACCAAGCATAAAGCTGTCACATTAGAGGACGGTTAACATTAGGGATACAGGGATGTTTCATGTTAGGGGAAGGGTTAGTGAGAGTGGTGTTTAGAGTAGATCATAGCACTCTGCACTAGAAGCTCAGAGCTCAAAACTACCAGAGCCTTCTCACATGGATGAAAAATATATTTTAAATATAATTTTTAATTATTCTTTCCAAATATATTGACATATATTTGAAATACTACAATTTTGGCTGTATTCAATATATTTAAAAATATATTTATATATATATATATATATATATATATATATATATATACACATATATACAGTGAGGAACAGAAGTATTTGAACACCCTGCAATTTTGCAAGTTCTCCCACTTTGAACACCTAAGAAACAGCAAGAATTTTGGCTCTCAAAGACCTGTTACTGTGCCTTTAAAAAGTCCACCTCTACTCCACTCATTAATCTAACTTAGTAGCACCTGTCTGAGCTCTTTAAAGACACCTGTTCACCCCACAGTCAGTTAGACGCCAACTACTACCATGGGCAAGACAAAAGAGCTGTCAAAAGACACCGGAGACAAAACTGTGGACCTCCACAAGGCTGGAAAGGGCTACGGGGCAATTGCCAAGCAGCTTGGTGAAAATAGATCAACTGTTGGAGCAATTGTTAGAAAATGGAAGAGGCTAAAGATGACTGTCAGTCTCCCTCGGACTGGGGCTCCATGCAAGATCTCACCTCGTGGGGTATCACTGATGATAAGAAAGGTGAGGAATCAGCCCAGAACTACAAGGGAGGAGCTGGTCAATGACATGAAGAGAGCTGGGACCACAGTTTCAAAGGTCACTGTGGGTAGAACACTACGCCGTCATGGTTTCAAATCATGCATTGCACGGAAGGTTCCCCTGCTCAAGTCATCACATGTCCAGGCCCGTCTGAAGTTTGCCAATGACCATCTGGATGATCCAGAGGAGGCATGGGAGAAAGTTATGTGGTCAGATGTAAAACTTTTTGGTCTAAACTTCACTCGTCGTATTTGGAGGAAAAAGATGGATGAGTTGCATCCCAAGAACACCATCCCTACTGTGAAGCATGGGGGTGGTAACATCATGCTTTGGGGGTGCTTTTCTGCGAAGGGGACAGGACAACTGCACTGTATTAAGGAGGGGATGAATGGGGTCATTTATTGTGAGATTTTGAGCAATAACCTCCTTCCCTCAGTCCGAGCATTGAAGATGGGTCGTGGCTGGGTCTTCCAACATGACAACGACCCGAAGCACACAGCCAGGATAACCAAGGAGTGGCTCCGTAAGAAGCATATCAAGGTTCTGGAGTGGCCTAGCCAGTCTCCAGACTTAAATCCAATAGAACAGCTTTGAAGGGAGCTGAAACTCCGTGTTGCTCAACGACAGCCCCGAAACCTGACAGATCTAGAGGAGATCTGTGTGGAGGAGTGGGCCAAAATCCCTGTTGCAGCGTGTGCAAACCTGGTCAAGAACTACAGGAAACGTTTGACCTCTGGAATTGCAAACAAAAAATGTGCCAAATATTAACGATGATTTTCCCAGGTGTTCAAATACTTATGTTCAGCAGTGCAAGACAAATAAATTCTTTAAAAATCATACAATGTGATTTCCTGAATTGTTTTTTTAAATTCTGTCTCTCAGAGTGGGAATGCACCTACAATGTGAATTTCAGACCCCTCCATGATTTCTAAGTGGGAGAACTTGCAAAATCTCAGGGTGTTCAAATACTTCTGTTCCTCACTGTATATATATATATACTGCATGTTGAAATGTGTTTTTTATATATTACAAAATATATGAAAACTATTTTTAAAAAAATATATTCCTCAGATTTTTTTTAACATATAAAAAGTAATTTTAACATATATTTTTACATATATTTGTAAATGCATTCCAAAAATGTAGATTAAATGTATTTTTAAAGACATACAGTACATCTGAAAATGTATTTTTAAAAATATTTTTCATATATTTTGTAATAAAAAACACATTGCAACATACAGTATATATATATATATATATATATATATATATATATATATATAAAATATATTTTGAAATATATTGAATATGGCCAAAATTGTAGTATTTCAAATATTCAAATATATGTCAATATATTTGGGAAGAATATTTTTAAAATATATTTAAAATATATTTTTATTCCATGTGGGTTGCCTAAAGGTAGGCTTAAACTGGCCATATGCGGTTTGAATGTCGGCAGTTACAGCAGTTCAGTTTAGTGTTAGTGTGAGTGTTAAAGGCAGGGTTAACGCTAGGGATACAGGGATGTTTCATGTTAGGGGAAGGGATAGTGAGAGGTGTTTAGAGTAGAGCATAGCAAAAAATGTAGATTAAATGTATTTTTAAAAACATACAGTATATTTGAAAAATGTATTTTTAAAAATATTTTTCATATATTTTGTAATAAAAACACATTTCAACATACAGTATGTGTATATATATATATATATATATATATATATATATATATTGCATATGGCCAAAATTGTAGTATTTCAAATATATGTCAATATATTTGGGAAGAATATTTTTAAAATATATTTTTATTCCATGTTGGTTGGCTAAAAATTAAAGCTGACGTTTAATCTTCCTATATTTTCCCCTGCCATCAGCATGCTAAAGACATTTTTTTTTACAATAAAACTTTTCTGTTTTCATTACATTTCTTATTTTAGGCCTAGTGACATGATAACTGTTTCTTTGCTTTTCTATGCAATGCACACAGATCATGACTGGTGGGAGGAGCTGCGTACTTGACATAGTTTCCTGAAATCATCACAGCACCATGCCTCAGTATTCCTCCCAAGAGACCTCAATATAGGTGCAAGCACTGGGATGGCTTTTGTAAGGAGTTATACAAATGGGTGGATGTCAGTCTGGAGAAGCAGGGAATCCTCAGCAGGCTGCATTTGTGATTGATGCTGAGCCTGCACTATTGAAAGAACTGCAATCCAATGAATGAAATGGGGTATGACAGGTTGAGAAGGATAGTCAGGCTAGGGGGGTTAATGGATGATGCTGGACGTCCTCTTGCCAGGAAATCAGGCAGCCTCTATCTGACATGCTGAAGCTTCTAATGCATGGTGTGAGAAGATCACAGATTGCAGTGAAACCAGAGGAAGCAAATTCCGTACAGGACAGCATGTAAAGCTTGATGTTAGCTTTAAAATTTCTTTTACCTGTCAAAAAATATGTACTATGTTACCACTATTCTTGTGTTACTTCTTTAAGGCAGATCAGTAGAACTGAAGGCAAAACGTTTTTTTTGGCACCTATGTCCCGTCGAGGGGATTTCCGTTCATTTCTTGTCCCATAGCCACAACAGGAAGTGAAAGGAAATCCATAAAAAAGGAGGGAAATCCCTGGTATTCACTAAGGTCACCAGAACTAATGTCCCCATTTAAGATTTTCCCTCTACTTCTGTTCTGGTGTCATTACTGATCTTCTACTTGCCTAGCTGTCATGCTAATCCAGTGGCTTCAGTGCTTCTTAAACATTGATCTAGAAAAAGTATATCCTCTTGCTAATTTAAACTAATTTACTGCTCATCTGTTTCTGATATTTGTTCTTTCTTTGTAACAGGCCAATTCGCCCTCAGGAGATTCTTCCACCTGAGAAGGGTCGGGAGGTAGCCAAAGAGCTGGGCATTCCATACTATGAAACTAGCGTGGTTGCTCAGTGTGGCATCAAGGAGGTTTTTGATAATGCCATCCGTTCAGCACTTATCTCTCGCCGCCATTTACAATTCTGGAAGTCACATTTACGAAGCGTGCGTAAACCATTACCACAGGCCCCTTTTCTTCCTCCACGGCCTCCTCCACCCGTCATTGTTGTTCCAGATCCCCCAGCACAAAGTGAGGATCACCCTGGGCACCTTCTGGAGGAGGCATCTTGTGCTGATGTGGTGCTGGTGGTCCAAGAAAGGATTCGAATTTATGCCCACCGCATCTACCTCTCCACTGCTTCCTCCAAATTCTGTGACCTTTTCCTCATGGAAGATGGAGACCCACCTGCCCAAGCCAGGGACCCCCTTCTACGTGCCTCCAGCTTTGATGCCTGTGAGGCTTCAGGAGAAACTGAGGGAGGAGGAATGAGAACCTCAGCCAGTGATGGTACATTGGGAAGGGAAGGGGACAGAGACTTATCAGGATGGAGCAGGGCCTTTGAGAGCATACGAAGTGGAGTTCTGGAAGAACCGCCTGGCTACAGGGCCAGAAGAGTGACTGTTGTAAAAATGGACAGCTCAGTGAGGTCTGGACCATTCAGAGCTGTGCTTAAATATTTATACACTGGGCGACTGGATGAACGGGAACCAGAGTTGATGGAAGTTGCCCATATTGCAGAACTGCTGGAGGTGTTTGACCTGCGAATGATGGTGGCTAACATTCTGAATCGAGAAGCCTTTATGAACCAAGAAATAACCAGGGCTTTCCATGTCCGGAGGAGCAATCGCATCAAGGAGTGTCTAGCAAAAGGGATCTTCTCTGGTGAGTTGATGAAAATAGAATATCTTGATAGCCATTGCAGTTTGGGAATAGACAGTTGTAAAGTTAGCATAGATACAGTATAAAAAATGGCAGTTGCCCAATATCTCTCTGTCTTTGCAGGATTTCAGGAAGATTTGTGTCTGTAGGCACCACCAGACACTTGCGGGCAACCATTTTTAAACCTTTAAATTTGTTTATAGACTAATAATGTGAACCAAAATTACTTAACCCCTTTGCGCCAGCACCTCGTGGCCCTTTAAGGGTTTCAGAAGCCAGAAGGTGGGGCGGGGTTTTAGGGTCATGTGACCGCTGTGATTCGCTGTCACGGCGGTCACATGATCGGGAAACGTCCCAATCGAAAGAGAAGATCGGGTCCTTTCCGTGAGTACTGGACATACGTGCTGGGAGCGCGCAGGGCGCGCGCTCTCAGCACATATGTTTTTCTTAATTGCACACAAATGTGCGCCCACTCAGTGTTTAGGCCCAGACGCCGGGAGGCCGCACATTTGTGTGCCGACGTGAATAGGTTTTTGCCACATTGAATTGCAAAACAATGGAATGAAAAATTGTATAAATGGACAACACAAGAAAATACAAATAATGTCCCAGTAAGATCCATTTAAATAATAGTTGCTTGAAAGCCAAAAGATAGGTGAACAGGTGCTGGTGTCATTAGTAACAGAAAAAAACAGGTGACCACTTCCAGGTACTTCAGGTGACCCCCCACATGGATTTACACACACCACAAAGGATGGACCTTCTATTACTAGATAGGACTCACTGCGTTTTTTTGGTTGGACCCACTGTGTGTCCTGTCATCAACTTGACCATTCACATGTGCCAGGAATGCGATTTCTTTCCATGCAATACACTGCCACTCAAAATGCAGTATCAGGGAAAAGGTTCATTGCGCAGAGCAGCTGACTTTATTAAACCATATAAACCTAACAATTGCCGAGATATTGGGCACCACGTTTTGTAAGTGTAAAATTTGTAATATTTTTGATTGCCAAGTCTTAATTAAATACTGCACAATGAGAGATTCTGTCTTTGTGGTCCTTGGGTGACATTGATGGAGAGACATAGGGTACACAGGACAAGAGATGATTGGAGGAAAAGTGAGGAACAGCAGGTGGAGAGCATCTGGGGCCCACAGCACTTTATGACCTTCTCTTTTATATAAGAGGGTCATCATGGATCTTTGGTGAGTGTATTGTGGTGACACAGGAGGTGAAGCACTTTGGGAAGATTCGGTGGCACAGAAACAGTATTTCTATAATGGTGTTGGACTGCATGTAGCACCATTTATTGTTTATGTTATTTTGGTTCATGGCATTTGGAGATTGAGTGCGGGGAGTCTATGGGAATTGGAAGTGTCCACTTGCCCCCGGTTCTATATATATGCGGCCATGTGGGCTGTGTGGTGCACAGGCACGAGAGCCCATTCATTGGAATGAGCTCCCATGCCCCGGGACACCCAGGGAAGAAGTCCTTGCACTCCTTTTCCAGTGCAGGCGGTGTGCCATTAGAACTAATGGCACCCGCCCGTGGGTCCGCATTTCTCTGTGGTGGTGCGACTGCACGGATTTTTGTGCGCATCCGCAGCGGCACCACCCGCACAGATGGGAACATAGGGTAATAGTTTCACTTTCACAACTAGGAACACCACAAGGTGGTCTTAAAGGGGCAGCTAAAAAAAAAATTGCACCGCACCTGCTCTTAAAGGGGCAGCTACAAAAATATTGCAACACACCTATAATTGTGCAGGTTTACATAAGGTTTCATTATATTTGTATCTCACTCTTGGTAATATGTGAATGGTATTATGGTTCTGCACAGGCAGTAATTTAGCTTGGAGGAAAGGCACCATATCTCTTTTTTTTTTTTCTTATTTTTTTTGGTTTTTTTTTTAATTTCATGGTATTTGCAGACTGTAACGCTCACTTTTAGTTTTACTATTATTTGAATGTGACTTACTGATACATTGGACATTATTTGTATTTTATTGTGTTGTCCATTTATATCATTTCTTTTCCATTTTTTTGCATTTTCACACGTGGCAAATTGTTAAGTAATTTTGGTTCAAATTTTTGGCAGCGCAGTCTATATACATGTCTATAGGCCTCACTAATGTGGACGTTAGACACATTTTGAAGACTACAGCAGTCATAATCACATTCATCTGTGTTTCTTTACTTTTGGCTTCTTTTGGTTTTGCCTGTGGCGCAGTTTTTTCATTGTTAACCATTTTTTAAGGCAAAGATCAGATGGACAGGCTTAAACTTTAACCATTTCCTATCTGGCCCAGGGGCGGACTGACAACTGCCCCCGGGCAATAGGGGATCATGGGGCCCCTGTGTCCTTGCCCAAACTCAAAAAAGCCTAAGAAAAAGGTACCAGGGGCATCTCATGGGGCCCCCTACTGACCCCGGGCCCTCGGGCAGCGCCCGAGTTTCCAAATGGGCAGTCCGCCCACTGATTCTGGCCCATGTACATAAATGGCCGGACGGGAGCAGTGCAGGAGAAAGTTGCTGTTTAAAAATGCGTGCGCTCCAGAGGACAGAGCGCAACACTGATCACTGTACGGGAACTCTGTGTGGGGTCCTGATCATGGGATCACTGATTGGCCAATCAGCGATCACATGAATAGTAGTAAGCAAGATGTCACTTCCTGACATCATTGCTTACTAGTGAAATTTGTGAATGATCACAGGGGTCACATGGTACAGGGCTATTCACAACATCATTGTACCATGTGACAAGCTGTGACCAATCACAGCTCTCACAGTATTTCTCAATGGCTGCAAGAATGCAGCCAGAGAGAAGGAGAAATTATTGCTTTGACAGCCTTTATGGATGTAAAAGCAATCAGTGTAAAGAAAAAAAAAAATCTTCATAACACCCCACAAGTAGTACAGTGTCACTATGTTGACACTGTACTGCTATAGTGACAGTATGTTAAAAGTAAGACAGTATGTTAATTTTTGGTTATAAACTAATTTGGGATATTTTTTTTACTAAAAAGATAACTGAATAAATTTTGTCCAAGATGTATGAAGAAAGATTATTTATTTGCAAACTTTTTATAAGAAAAACACTTTTTTTCAAACTGTTTGGATTTTTTCATTTATATAGCAAAAAAAATTCCAGTGGGTGAATAAATACCACCAAAATAAAGTTTTATCTGTCTCAAAAAAATGCTAAAAAATGAATATGAGTACAGTGTTGCATGACCGCGCAATTGTCATTCAAAGTGTGATAGCACTGAAAGCTGAAAATTGGCCTGGACCAGGAAGGGGGTGAAAGTGTCCGGACTTGAGGTGGTTAAACAATCACAATTGTTTTTCCCAGAGAGAAGCTGGCATCAAGAGTGGTTCATGCTAATGTATGAATTCATGGCACAAGCAGGGTGATGACTAGTCTCAGATCCTGCGTTCACCTAAAGGCCGCACTTTCAGTTGTTAACTGCATGCATAAAATAACCTGATCAGGGGCGGACTGACAACTCATGGGGCCCCCGGGCAATAAGGGATCATGGAGCCCCTGTGTCCTCTCCCACACCCAAAAAAACCTATGAAAAAGCCGATGAAAGGTACCAGGGGCATCTCATGGGGCCTATATTAAAGGTAGTTATTAAGAGGTTGTCAAATGAATTATCATGTCACCCAATATTTGGTCTCCATTCAGTAGCCAAAGGAGGCATTCAAAAAAAGGGGATTTGTGAAAAGAAATTCACAGAAAAAAGCGGCTACATTATGAACAGAACGTGACACTCAGAAAAATTTCCAAAAATTATGCTTTATTACACATATATAAATATGACATATGGGCATTCGCCCTGGTTTACCATCACCTCAGTATGAGACAATGAGACAATACACACAGACCTAAAACCATATAAAATGACACCCAAGACCGGTCTAAATGCATGTGCAACAGAAAAAAATGACTACAGGAGTCTAATGTCCCTGTAGCACAGACACATAGGTGAACACTTCCCAAAAGAGGTGTATCCAAAAATTATACCATTAGGCATACCATAATATTGAATATTATAAATAGAACAATACCATTATGGTGAATCCCAATCAGGGAATCCAAAAATTGTACTATGGATATAAATATCACATGTATGCAATGCAGCAAGCACAATATGCGTCAAAAAGAGAACAACAAGCCTCAGGCCTGTATGGAGGGAGACATGAATGTCAAATATATGATGCAATACATTCCTGTGCCGGCACAAGTGGTTGGGGCCCATTCATCTGTAATATAAACAGCTGTATCCTAGAGCTCTTGAATGAAAATATGCCCCATTTATTCCCAGGGTGGAAGAAAAAATGCAAAAAGCAGCACTCTGCTTGAAATGGTATCTTCACCACTATATGTGGACTACACACCACCTTTCGTAGGAAAAACAGGACACATCCCAAAAGATCTTCTGCCTGTTGAAATATATGTGGTACAGTTGTGACCAAAATTATTCAACCCCCAATGCTGTAAAGGGGTTTAGGGACTATAGTGTACATTTGGAATTGTATTCAGAATCAAATCCTACAAGGACGTTGTAACTACCCAAATGCAACTAAAATGACATCAATTGTTTATGTAATACAGTAGTAAATGGTTCTTATGTGGTTTCTTCATTGCCACAATTATTCAACCCCTTAAAGACTACCACTCTGAAGAACAGAGGTTCATACAGGTGCTTTCCATCAGGTATTGAAAACACACCTGTGGATGTCACCGAGCAGCAATCAAGCATAATAAGCACCAATTAGGCAGCTTTAAAATGACTGTGATACTCAGCTCCTTCTAGACATTTACATTTACTGGTGTGGTTACAAACATGGTGAAGGCAAGAGAATGGTCCAGGAAGACAAGAGAAGAGGTGATTTCTCTTCACAGGAAGGGCAATGGCTATAAGAAGATTGCAAAGATGTTAAACATACCAAGAGACACCTTAGGAAGCATCATTCGCAAATTCAAGGCAAAGGGCA